AGGTCGTGGCTGCTACTCTCTTCATATAGGGAATACGTCGGTTTTAGGGTAAAATCCTTGAAGATTTGGAGATAACGTCGAAAAAAAGAAAATTTCTCAATTTCCTCAGATACGGTGATCGGTAGATCACCGTGTTAATTCATCTTTGCGTCAAGACAAGGGGCTTTGCGTCCAATCGATCACTTCATGCGTCCGGTCGATCATTGGTGAATATTCTTTAACCTTTAATTTGATCCTTACTCAAACAGATTTAAGTAGATCAACGATATCTCAATATCTAACTGTTGGATTGTAGCGATCGAATATTCATTTTGAAGCTGAGATCCTCCTCTATCTCATGATAAAATATGAGCTTGATCTGACTGTGGGAATTTCTTCATCTGGATCGAAACATGTGATGGTCAGGATAAGTCCTTCCTTGAAAAGACTTGATTTCACTCCTTTTAGGCCCAAAATACTCCAAATTCCTATATTGACTTCAAAACCTACGAAAATGTTAAAAGTAGCATATTAAGTCCAAAAACCATTCATTTCTTTATTAAAAATTATTAAAAATATAAAAAAAAGGAGAAAATTATCGTATATGTCAATTACTAAGAATATAGTACATCGTTTGACTGTCGATAGAGATATGCTTTCGCTCCTCTCCACATCTTCATGCAAATCTCTCTTAAACAAAAATAACAACAATGTTCCCCTCAAGATCAGAACATTCATTCGCAACTCTCCATGAGTAAACAAAAAAGGAAAAAAAATCGCCATAAAAAGTAATCCAAATTTGAGCAGACCAATATTATTGGAAATGACCACATTGTCTTTGGTACCTTTGAGACTTGAGAGAATCTATTATATACTAGAGGACATTACAAAGAACATGATTAATTGTCTGTTCTTCTATCCACATTATTCACACCGAAAATCACAATTAATGTTTTTATTTAGAGATTTCGGTTGACGGATAAAGAACCTGTTAGAGTTTGCACCAAAACACCAAATTTGGTGTTGAAATCACACCAAATTTGGTGTTGAAATCACACCAAATTTAGTGTGATGGTTGGAGATGCCCTTAGCCTTTGATATCTTCGTGGGTATTTTTACTTTAGGACATACGATTGACAAAGAAAATAAGTTGTATTGAGATCCATGATTAATTTAAGTATCGAGAAACGATCTCTGACCTCTGATGTTAGTCATCTTTTTAGAAAACATCCAAAAAGATTTGATTCGCTTTGTCCTTTGAATAAATGTTACCAAGAAGTTCCCATCAAAAGAGAAGAATAGAGAATTTTCCGTAGTAACTAGAGAGTGTCTAAAAAAGAATTTTCTTCTCTCTCCTGGGCGATTCTAAAACCCCTAAGGAGCCTCCTCCCATAGCTGCCGCCACAGTCGCTAGTGACTCTCCTCCACCAGATCCGCCTAATCCTCCCGACCCACCCTCCATCCTCGACTTGTCTCCCATCTCTCCTCCATCCTCATGATCTTTCCCCTCAACGCTTCTCCTGAATCTAGATCTAGATTCGGGTTCATCGGTATTTTGTTCTTTATCTTCAGTCTCGGCAGCATCTGGTTTAGTCATGCATAACCTTTTGCCCTTTGATGGCGCACATATCGCTTCTATGCGATCCCTTACTACTGTGTGCAGGTTTCGATATCATATCTACTTACGAATTGTTATGTGTCCTATTTTGAGCCTCTCTCGACCACGTATGCATCTTGCCTCTCGTTCTCCTTTTCTCAAGGTCCTAGGTTTCGTTGTATTATAGCAGAAATGGTTAAAAGATTTGTTATAGAGTCTTTCAAGCGAATTGTGAGCCTAGTAAGCATTTCTCTCGGGTAGAAAATGCAAATTGTGTAGTTGAAATCAATCCTACTCTCATTGGTAGAGTCTCTATTCCCAAGGTTTTGTTCATAAATCCCTTGGCGTTTGTTAAGGGTTCTTTCACTCGATTGCCTTGTGTATGTTTGGGCAAGAGTTGCGAAGCCTACTCCTTTATGGAGGGTTATGTTCTATCAAATTCCCCTTTTGGTGGAAATTGTTTTATAGCAGGGAAGAAAATCTTCTTAGACTTCAGTTTGGAGCTCAAACAAAATTTTCATTTGGTTCTTGCTCAACTCGTGGAAGCTCTAGCCATGGTTACAGCCATCGCCTCAATATCAACGACGGAGATCCCACATCTTCATGTGGTCTCGGACTTTCAAGTCTTCTTATCAACCATCACTTTAAGTGATTCTATCAACAACCATGCAGGAGTTCCTCATGACTTTAGAGACTCAATCTCTTTGTTGTCTCCTGTTATTTGTACTTACTTTGCCCTTTTGTTAGGAGATGTTTTAGCCATTTTATCTATGTTAAACTATACTTATTCCTTCATTTTTGAAGGTTAAATTTGAATGAAAATTTTAGTGACCCAAACAAAAAAAAAAATTCCCACC